ATCAGTTCCAAAGATAATTCATGTTGGAAGGGACCAGATGAGGTCATCTCAATACCCAATAGGGAAATGTCAGAAGCAATCCATTGAGATGTTACTCCTAACGAAAAGAGTCATTCCCCTCTGGGGTAGCATGCTTTAAAATAAAGTACAGTTTCTCAAAACAGGCTAGTAGCAATACTTAGCTTTTTTTTAATGTAACAAACTGAGAAACAAAGTATTCTTAAAATATACAGGAGTGAGTCACTGCTTAGGCAATACCTGATCTACTTAAGAGTCTAAATGGATGAACTCGCAAGGTGTTAAATTTAGAAAAAAACAGCAGCTGTCATTTTTCACATCCTTTCTTAAGAAATACCAGGAAGTTAAATTCTGGTGGGAGACAAGACTGCAAGCATTTACTCCTCAGCCTCCACATACACACAAAGGGCTTTGTATTTTCATTATGGTCAAGTGTATTGTTTTTTGTCTAGAAAGAGCCCAAAAACCAAAACTGTCCAAAATCTACACAAGTGAGACCAGGAGCTGTTCAAAACAGCCAAACTCCACCCAACAGTTGAGAACAGGCTGGACAGCACAGCACCCACCTACCTGTACCTACACACCTGATGGGATGGGGGCATAGCAAGGTTGCCACCATAAGCAGATTAATAAAAGGTTAACGAGCCAAGTACAGCTCATTAGAGAACTAATCCAGATGAACACATGACTGCTGCAACAGCAAGCAAGAGACAGACACCTGAAGCAGCCCTTGCTACGTGTCTGTAAATCCTAAACCTGCCATGGCAATGCAGGAACTGCAGCTCAGTGTTAACCACTTCATCCTACTGTTAAAAGACATGACACAAAGTTAAACATGAACAACAGCTACAGTATTAAACAACTGTTTGAGTGCATACAATGAAAACCCAAATAAACAAACTCCACTCTGTGCTGCCAGCATTCCTTGTCATTGTCTAGTAAAAGAAACCTGCTGACAAATCCAAGGAGAGCTGGGGGGGTGCCAGGCTGACTGAACACAGCTCTGACAGTGCCAGCACTGCACATCTGGGCACAGCCACACAGCTGCTGGGGCTGGGCCACTGCAAAACACCACAACCAACAGGGGTGTCAAGGCTTTCCACTCTCATTCTCACATTCCACCCACTACTCCACTTGACTTAGGACTGAAAAAACATGTAATTGAAACAGTTAAGTCAAAATAGAGTTTGGAGTGCGTAGAGCCAAATAAATGATACCTACAATTATTCATTAGGGTTAGCTATTAAAAAAAGAAATAATAGTGATTCAGTTATCTCTCTCTCAAAAGTGCAGCAAACTTGTGTATATTGGAGAAGAAAAATGGTCATATTAGATTTTCCCCACATCTGAACAAGGTACTGCTCCAACATACAAAAATGTTTTCAGAAAAGCTGTTTGCATTTCTATTACAAAGCAAGAAACACATTAACTTCAAAACAGTAGTAACTGTTGCTATTATCAATTGAATTGCACAAATCCTTTATCAATGATAACAAAAACCACAAACTAAAAACAACCCAGCCTACCATTCAGTGGATTTTAGCAGCAGCCTTACATCCAGGGATGTAATCAAATTCTACTATACAAGACAGCAATTCCCATTCAATGGTAGAGCAGCTTCATAATAGGGTGTTTTGCCAGACACAAACACATTTATTAAAGGGCCAGAGGAAACACACCCTATTAGAATAAAACACAAATTACTACTTATGTGTTTAGACAAAGTGCATCCCTTCTTTTTCAATTAGTAGACAATTGCTTTTGTAGAGACAAATGTGCATAAAACCCTAGACAAACTTTAAATGCACTTCCTAGGCTCCACTGCCTCTGCTACAGACACTGAGGAGTGCAGCAGGAATGCAAGAGGCCTTTTTGTCCTTTCCAGCTGCAGTTGTGCACATCACACAGAGCCAGTCCTAGCAATGGGTGACACAGAAGACGATCTCACTAATCACTGCTCTGCTGCATTAATTTTGTACGAACTGGAAAGAACACACAAGTACAGGTGTAGTAATTTGGCTGTAGCAACAGACAGCACACATGAAGATACATCCTTTTTTCATACAGTATTTAAAAACTAAATAACAGAGGAGGTGGGAATCTGCTACACAACCTTAGTTACAGGATGATCAGATACTGACAAGAGTTTTCTTCTTATGCCATTCCCTACCAAGTAATAACATCTATGAGTTGCCTAACACAAAAGACAAAGAAAATGGCATATTTTTAATTTTAGTGCTAATTAATACCTTGAAACAAGATGAAACTCTTTTGTGAGCTTCAACCTGGAAGCCAGAGAGCCAATCTGAACAGAGCAGCAAAATGCCCCTTTTAACCAGCTGAAAAGGGAACTCCTCACACTCCAAGTGCTTTTGTTTACAAGGCTGTAATTACTGCTATTCAAAGATTTATTTACAAAGTTACTTGAGCAGAAGTAGGGAGACATCAGAAGAGTTCTGAGCTATGCATGCACGCAAATATTTAAACAAAGGCATGCAGGCCACAGGAAAAACAAATGAGGAGAGGATAATCACACTCCCTGCAGATGAGAAACTTTAAAGCTCTAAGTAAGGTAACAGATTATTAAGCAGTCGTGAAACTCCTGACTTCTTCCTATATACTCTTTGATATGGAATATATTAACATATCATATTCCCAAATTCAATGTGTTCTTACAAATTCTATTTAAACCACCAAGTTTTGTATCTTATCAGCAGGGTACTTGATTTTCCAACCACCATCTAAACCATAATGTCTCAGCTCCCAGCTCAGCCACCACATAAGAAAGTACTGTTACTCCTCAGCTGTAACCAAGCCTTGCTGCCTTGGGATCCACCTGCCTAAACTCCCCTGGGACACACTGCTGGAGAACACATGGCTTTAGACTGTATTTCACAAGACCTTGTGCTACTGGGGACAGCTGAATGTTCCCCCTTGGAGTTTTAAAGGCCAGGCTCTGCACAGCAGGACACCAGTGACCCGATGTTCCTCCCTCAAGACAACCACCTTAATAGCATTAAGCTTAGTGTCCTGCCTACCCCCTGCAAACAGGGAGGGCACAAGGACATGATGAGGTCAGGGCATAAAACTTTAAGGTCAAAACCACCCTCTCAGGGTTGGACACTGTTTCACTGAACATCTGCCACCCTATGCTACCAGCCTGCTCTCTAGTGTGAAATTCAACTGATCCTGCATTTTCCTCTAAAGCATTCATACATTTCCAACTCCTTTACTAAAGAGAACATTTTATATTAACAGTTAGTTCTTTTTAGTTTTATAATAATTTATACTTCATATATCAGTGTCAGTTACCTTCTGTCCTCACGTTTCTATGCATTTCTATCTCAGGTTCTACATTCTGCTTCTTTCCTTGTTTTCCTGTCCAGTTCCTTTAAGTGCCAGTGGCTCACACAGGCCTCAGTCATTCCTTCTGGTGCAGAAAGTTTGAGAAACACGTGGAAAACTGACTCCTTCTACCTAAATGACAGCACCTTACTGTCCAGGTGTATCTGTCAGAGGAAAAAATGCAGCTGTCTGTCTTCACCTGCTGAAGGGGGGGAGCACATCATCCCTGGCTCCACGGGAACCCTACAAACTTGTCAAGGGAGTGCAAAGTCCACCTGCTGTCCTTGCTCTTCCCAGGTATGCTGAGAGTGCTCTGCACCACGACTGTGCCATCCCAGCCTCTCCTCAGGGCCCTTCCCCACAGCTAAAGAGCTTCAGGCTCTTTCCAAAAAAGTAAGAGAACGGAAGCAAACTTGCTCTTCACAGCTTCCATGCTGCCCAGGGACTGCTGCTTCTGGAGAGCGAGTCACTGCCTCAAAATTGGAAAGGACCACCACAGCACTCAAAGAAACTACTTATTGCTCTGTCAGAGCTTTCCAAATCCTGGATAATTTACAAATCCACTTTCATGAGAACTCTTAGAAATTCAATTGCAGGAGAACCAGCTGAAAAGGCTCTAAAAACTACATCACTACAGAGCTAATTACACTTCAAAATTCAAATAGGCATTTGCAGCTACTCATCTCTCATGAATTTCAGGAAAAAGGCTTACTGCAGAAGAATGTGGTAAACAAAACAAAGATCCTCACTTAACACGTAATACAAGCTACAAAGGACAAACAAAAGAGAAAGGAAAGATGGTATTGTAAGAGTGGTAAGAGACAGAACAGAAACACAGTACCTGGACAGCGGTAAGACATTCAGTACCAGAGTGTGGAATCAAAGTCAGGATGTCCCTTGCCACTTCTGCTACAGAAATGTCACTGATCATTTCATTATATTCACTGTATAATGCACTCTGCCCTGCACTGTGCACATTTGTAAAAGAAAACATACTATCATACAAAGAAGGAAAAAACCCCAAGAGGTCCCCAAAGTTTTACTAATCACAGTAGTGACAATATTTCTCTTATTAACTTCTGGACTTTACCCAAGTTACGGAAGAAATTCAGCAGACCAGAAAAGAAGCTGACAGCATATATCACAGGATCTCAAAAGGATTCCTCAGAGCCAGAACTTTACCCATTCTCACATTAGGCAACAACCACCTCACCTCTATAGGTGAGTGTAAGCCACAAGTGCTGCCCGGGTGGCTCACCAGTGGCAGGAGCTATGGAGGACACCCCAAACCCACACACTCTCTGCAAAGCCATCCTTTATCTCTTCCAAAGAGGGATATCATGGTACTGTTGTCGGACACCTGACAGGATCCCAAAAATCTCTGACACCTCCTAATTCTGCCATTTAGTTACACACAGTACAGGGCATGTCACAACCTCACTGTGCAATGGTTGTTCACCTCTTACAAATGGAAAACGATCCTTCCCTCCCTGGAAAGCTTCTGACAGCAGACAAGCAATGGACAAGTACCCCTACTGCAGAAATGCCCACAAAAATCTCTTTTTACCTGCTAAGAGCGAAACAGCAATTCTGTAGCACACCACCCCCAGTACCACTGAGGTGGCAGGACATCTCACCTGATTTTATAATTGGGGAGGGTGTGCTTGCGCTTAATAACCTTCTTGAACTGGTTCACTATGATGGAAGTGAGCTGGGGCATGGGCCTCCCTTCGAACTGAGACTTCACCTCGAACAGTATCACGGGGTCGTCCATGAAAGAGAAGAACCAGTGAGTGAAGGGCAGCCGTGTGAAGACCAGCTTCAGCTTCCCCATCACCCGGGAGATCTTCACGAAGAGATAGGCCGACTTGCCGAAGACCAGGTCGGCGTCGATGGCCAGGTGGAAGCCACCATTGTACTCCAGGTCCACCTCGAAGCCCAGCTCCTCGGGACAGCCCTCCTCGTTGCAGCACACCGGCCGGATGAGCTTCACCGACTTGAACACGGGCAGGACATCGCCCAGAGAGACCTCCCTGAGGCTGAGCCCCTCCAGCACCTTCCCCGTCATCTTGGCCTGGAGCAGCTCCTCGAACTCCACCTTGATCTTCTTGGTGACCCAGTCCCTGACCAGGGCAGTGTCCCTGAGCTCCCTGAAGAGGAAGAGGAAGATGGCATTGAGGAAGTGGCAGCTCTCCTCGCGGGAGGAGGGGGCCGGGGGGGGCTCCGGCTGCGGCGGCTGTTTGGTGCCGGGCTCGGGGCCCGGGGCGGCGGCGGCCGCAGAGGCCGGGGCCGGGCTGGGGGCCGGCTCTGCCGCGGCGGGGCCGGCGGCGGGCTCGGCGCCCTGCAGGTATTCCCTGAGGCCGTGCTCGGGCGCCACGCGCGAGTAGACGATGCCGCCGGGCGCTTCGCCCGCTCCCCCGGGGGGCTCGGGCTTCTTCC